CCGTCTGACGAACCGTGTTCCGTACATTCCTTAATTTATTCATGATTAGAGATATATTTATGTCGTTACACCTCAGTCGACGCGTTTGCTCACAAGGTATTTCGAACAATTGTATAGTGTGACGTGTGTGGCAGGCCATTGTATACGTAGTAGAAACCTTATTACGTAATTGGTAAGTAGTAGAATACGTAGTAGTACCGACAGTGCTATACGTAGTACGTAGTGAACCGAGCGCGATACTGAATAGAATACTTGGGGTTAAAATTTCTGCCATCATAATTAACCTACCATATAAACTCAATTATCTCAACGGTGTGCATCAGAATCTGCATCGTCATTCTCGTATTCTGTGCACACTGTGAACGAGCGTCTGAATTTGTTATACCTGGTAAGTTCTCTACGTAACTAATTGGGCATAATTATGTTTATGTTATGTTCAGCAGGATCTGACGTTGAAGAGCGATATATTTACGGGTAACTCGCTGATCTTGTTGGAATGTCAGAGTAGTATACTTTCATTAGCGCACAACAACAGACGCATTTATTATGCTGTTACTTTCTCCGAGAAAAAAAACCCTCGACGACAACGCGCATGTTCAATTTCGATTTGTATATTACACGTGTCCAGGAAAAACTTCCGTAAGGAAGCATCATCCCCCAGTTTCCAGGGAATATCTCTTCAGGGAAAATTGTAGTGCTCGTTGTCAGAGTACAATTATTATTTGTGTAATTGTAGATAATATATTTTCTACTACTATTCATACTTTTCTCATACAGTCAGCATTACCCTATAAGAAATCCTAGTTGCTGTTTTCAAGGATCATTCCTTGAAGTAATTTCAATCCTTGTCGCCAGAAAACTTTCGTTGAGGAATTCGAATACAATGTGAAGATTCGTAATGTGTCTGAGACGCGTCTGTAGCAGGAATTCAATTTAGTTAGAAATATAAATTCGATCGGAATTTCACTGAATTTTACGAGTCGCAGTTTTGCTTTTCGTATGTATAGACGAATCAGAAAATAGAAACCTAACGGTTTCGTCCTTGTTCAATCTACGGCAACGCCGACTTGGCGATGTCGCTATTAATCACTGTCGGAGACTAGACTGGATAGCAGAGGGGTTCTGGCGAGTACAAACTAAGAAAACCTCATGCTGATATGCGCGAATAAACCGTCGAGGCGGCAGACACGTCATCTGATTTACGTGTGTGTAAATTTACGTTCGCAGTGCACACACACACAAACACACACAAACACACACACACACAAACACACACACACACACACACACACACACACACACACACACACACAACACACACACACACACACACACACACACACACACACACACACACACACACATTTCTCAAGTTTGATTGTTTCAGTGCAGTGTAAACCTTTAGCTTGGCATTTATCGTTTTTCGTCACCGCTAGTAGCTAAGCATATCTCTGTTCTGTCTAAATACTGTTAAAAAGACTTATAATGATTTTGAGCTCAAATGACATTGGCGGAAGATTTATGAAACTGTTTCGCTGGAAGTATATTTTTAAAAAGATATCGGATTTGCTGTCGCTCTCAAAATGGGCTTAAACTTCGAGTTAAACCCGAGTGTAACTGCAATGAAAATTGCAATGATCGCTTTTAAATAAAAGTGAAATTCCCGCTCTCACAATAATGTGAGTTTCGCAATATCGTCGATAGCTTTGCGACAGAATGCCTATATATCCATGGACATGCGCCGCGCACACGTATCGCTGGTTCGGTGAGATTTATGTCTTGGTTGCAGCATCTCCCACCGCACACGTTATATAGCCGGTTTCGCGTGATTCGCGAGAGCGTTTGGCTCGTCTGCGGCTCCACACACACGCACGCACCCACACGCACACACACGCACGCGCGCATGCACACGCACGCACCCACACGCACGCACTCGCACGCGCGCATGCACACGCGCACACACGCACGCGCTCACACACACGCGCGCACACGCATGCGCGCGCACACATACACACCTACACATACACACACCCACGCATACACATGCACACACGCACGCACGCATACACGCGCGCACACACGCGCACACCACGCAAGTACACACACACACACACACACACACACACGCACACGCACTCGCACACGCACACGCACACGCACACGCACACGCACACGCACACGCACACACACGGGTGCTTAATTTGTTAGTATCTCTAGCTAAATCGCGCGCTGTGCCGTCGGGCTGTTTTGCATATGACGCGGTTCAACGTGAAACGACGCGTTGTAATGAAATCTGAGCGCAGAGTCTAATGAAATCCGAACGCTGCTATAGCATACGATGTAATTTCAAACTCAACGTTCTAATTTTATCATCGTAAATGAAAATGTCAAAACGCGTCACTTCACCACCAGCAGTGACTAGTTAACGTGCATGTAGGTTAGCGACGTGACCATACAGCAATGGCGCGGGGTTTGTGTATAACCGTCGTCAGTCAACCGTGAACCCGATGTTTACGTTAGGTAAATACAGCGGTCCCCGCTTTATCGGGCCTCGGATGAAACGGGCGCACCGCTTAAACGACACGTGTCTCACGTGGCTTTGTACAACAATCCTTACGCCCGTTTCTCTCAAGTTTTTTACAGCACTTTAACCTGGAGTCTTCCTGTTAACCACTTGGTCCCCCGATGCGACATAAGGCCGTTCAACCTGAAGTACCGCCGGGGTTATTTCGTAGTTCCCGTCCTGTCCTGATAAAGTTGGAACCACTGTATCTCAGTTACGCTTCTATAGCATTACGCGGAACCTGACATAACACGTTTCGACATTATTTTTATTTCTGATCGACTGCTTAGTGCAGGTTATCGATTTCTCTTCCCATTTCTTCACATAGTTAGGAAATATTTCCGTATGGAGTCAGTGTCGTTCGTTATACAGGCGGTAAAGACATCCCGAGTATATGGGATCGAACATATACGCATATTGTCTACAATTTTCTAATGGTATAATCTAGCATGCGTGCTTTTAATTCATTGAAATAATTACTATATTACTGGAAATAATTTTATAAGCGAGGAACTTATTAATTACTAAAACCTCTCCATCTAATCATGCAAATATTTATATATACAGTTTGCAACGCGTGTTATTTTTGTACAGTAGTCTCGCCGTCGCAAAAAACACATTTAGATATCATACATTATAATTTTACTATATATTTATATACTACGATTCCCTCCCAAAAAAGACGTCACAATAAACAGTTCAGAATATCCCGAGTCACGAGATAGACCTTTATCATGGACTAGACGGTCGCTTCGTGACTGTATAGCCTTTGATTGTGCGGAGGCGGTGGCGCTGGCGGCACAGGGTAGAGAAGTCCCTTGTGCGGCATCGAAGAATTAGTGGATTTGTATTGCGAATGCGGCTGACAGGTGGCGTCATCGTCGCGCCCCCGATTCAGCGTGTATTTCATTTTGTCCGTTTTCTCTTCGGCTCGCTTCTTGTCTCGGTGGTAGTAGACTCCGGCGAGAATGAGCACGTTGAGTATGAGAAACGAGCAGCCGACGGCGACGACGATACTCAACGAGCTAGAGTACGAGCTCTCGCTATCTCGCGATATCTTCTGAATCTGCGCCACGTTGGTCTTATTCTTCGCCTGCGTCGTCGTCGGACCCTCGGCGACGTCCTTCTTCGCGGACGAGGACGAGCCGGTCGTCATGGCAACCGGTTGCCGCGTCGGCTGCGTTGAGGTAGGTGGCGCTACGGTCGGTTCGTAGATGTCGAAGTTTATGTCTCTTACGACTCCCTCGAACATCGATTTTTGATAATACTCGGCGATTAGATGATGACTTGCGTTCACGACTCCCCTCGTCTGGTTTAATTCGGGCACCAGTTTATTCCAGAAAGCCACCTTGTGCGCCTTGTAATAATTGCGTACACGCGGTGTCATTCCTGCAACAAAGGACGCAGTTAAACCGATTATTCGGTTAGTCAAACAGTGAGATAGTGATAACTTAAACGCAGGAGAAGGCAACGAAACGAAATGCAAACATGAAAAACTGTGCTCGCAAATACACACGTGATAAAATGGCGGTGTCATCAATCAGAATTATAGGAAAATCACTTCTATTAAATTTGTACTTATTTTAGTTTTGAATTTTTCCAGCTATGTATAAACAAATCATAAAAGTAATAATAATAATAATATTAATATTAATAATAATAATAATAATAATAATAATAATAACAATTCTAATAATACAAAATATTATTATTCAAAAATATTATTGACTCTGGCATAATATAATATACGGACTGATGCTAAATTTGATAACGACATTCCACTAACGAGTCATTACTCTCGCCTCGCGAAGAAATCCACAAGAGTAATTTTTATTTCTCTTTATTCTCTGCTATGGTATTCATCATCTAACATGCAACACATCGTGGCACGATCCACAAATTTTGCCCATTTTAGAAACGCTGGCGTCGGTTGCCTATCGCGTGAGTTGCGGTGCGTGTGTGTGTGTGTGTTGGGGGGGGGGGGGTAAGTCGTCTGCGCGCGCGCGTTACCTATGTTAACGTATCGTTGATGCACTCGTTCGTACTGCGGCCATTCCAGTAGCGCCTGCTTCTCCTCCACGGCCGCATTCTCTGTCGCAGTGTCGCGATACGACCTAGGCGTATTGGGATTCCTAAGAATGCAACGAAATAACAATTTTCTGAATTTATTTTCCTCTCAATTTTGATATCTCGCATATGTATGCGAGGAGGAGAAAGTGTGCGCGTGCGTGCGTGCGCCCGCCCCCGTCCTTCCACTTTTCTTGACGCCATTTGCCAGCGTCATTTGTCCGGCAAGCATTTTACGTGAGCGCGGGACAGCACTTAGGATAACGAATTCGGGTCCGCTCATAACATTAAATTGTAGTTATAGATTCGCAAGAAGATTTCCGTGCAATTGCAGATCAAGGAAAATCGCAATGTTTCGCTTTGTTTATGTAATCTATAAAAACAGAAACTCGGGTTTCCGATATCGAGTATTACGAGAAATTTCGGGAAATTTTTCTCATCTGATTTAAAGACTCCCCGGTTACGGTAATGATAAAATAAATAGGCCGTGTATGACGGATTCCTTTAGAATTTTAGCAAGACGGGCACGTATTCGTGCACGGGATATGCACATGGGCATGCAAGTAAATTAGAAGCAACGTCTGAAACAAATTGGGTTCACATCAAAATTCGATCGCACGAATCTTTCCCCATCAAGTAGAAATGGCGGCGGATAAGTAATCAATCCTCATGTAAAAGTTTCATAATACTTCAGACTATACTTACATTCCGCAGAAAAAGTACCAACGCCATAGTTATACATCTTGTAGGAAATCGGATAAGTTATCAATCTTTATGTAAAAGGTCCTATAATACTCAAGGCTGCTCATACATTCTACAGGAGAAGTCACAACGTTATAGCTATACATCTCGAATTGGAAATCAGTGAAATGTTTTCATGTCTACGATATATAGATGAACTAATAACCACTATACTACAAACAATAGCTAACTTGATGATTTTGATTAAATCGTGACAAACAAGAGTGGGTTTGTGGTGACAAAACTTCTCTCTCACACACACATATGTATGTATGTATATATAAATATATCAAGAGCATATAAAGAAGGAGAGCGTACAACGGTAAAATGCTGTAACCATGTTGCCGTATTAGTTGAATTAATAAATTAGTAAAAAAGTATTATTGATCAGCTGTCCGACCTTGTTCATATAAAACAAACCGCATGTCCCTACGATGCCCCTACGCTGAGATAATGAGCTGTGAAAATCTGGTATTTTTGACGAACACCGACTAGACATTAGTTAGTATTGCGACCGACTCGCGTTCTGGCGATAGCTTCGGGAAACCTCGCGTGTTTCCGTCATTCATTGACAATGAAATTAATTTTCCTTCTACTATTTTTTCTCGCATTTCCAGTCATTGACACAGCCATTACTCCACAAAAACGTCTTGTTATTTATCGCCGTGGTGATGACCCGCCCCCTTACGCTGGATGTAGTAACGCTGTAGTAATAACGTATCGAGTCAGCGCTACACAGCGGCGACCGGAAGCAACACACTGGCCACACTTCGAGAGTGGGTCGCGGTACTGACTAATGTCTAGTCGGTGTTCGGCAAAAATACTGAAAGATTTTTCTCAAAATACCGCTCATTATCTCAGCGTAGGGGTATCGTAGGAACATGCGGTTTGTTTTATATGAACAAGGTAGGCCAGCTGATCAATGATCTTGCAAAGAATCGTCAAAATAAAACGGGAAAAGTTTATTAATTCGACTAATACTGCAACAGGGTTTCAGCATTTTACCGTTGTACGCTCTCCTTCTTTATATGCTCTTGAATATATATAT